TTAAAGTATGAAAATACATAAAAGATTATTAAAAGTCAAATACTCAAATATTATTAAAAGTCAAATAATATCCAAAGAAATATTTCTAAGTCAAGTTATGCAATGATTACTTATTAAGTCCTGTAATTTTCTAATACTAAAAGATAAGTCGAAAAACTAAATCAAGTCTCACTTAAGTCTAGACTAAACCTAATGTGAAACTATCATACACCGTGATCCCCAACATCTCAACATTGTTATTTGAAATGTTGGACAAGGAAAAATATAATATATAATCCCATTAAGTGAATATTTAGTTTCCATTTTATTTTTAACTAAGCATGTCAACAAGTAAAAATCAAGTATCAAGTAAAAATAGGTACAAATATCAGTAACGAAATAGATGTTTCCTCTGCAAGTCATGACCCACATTTATAAACCTCCCACTGGTGGGTAGAAGATTACCAATATATAATCTCACTATCAGAATAATAAGTATAACAAAAATAAATTGGTTCCACAAATAACATGTCAACATGTGCCAATATTTATAAACCTCCTATTAGTGAGCACAAGTAAAACATGACTATATTAGAGAATAAAATAAACTAGCAAGTATATATCTCAAGTAAACATACTTATTTCAAGAAAAGATGTGTCTTAAGGATCAAGTAGCATATATTCAAAGCTTTTTATAAATAGACATACGTAACCAATTAAAAGTCAACTTAAATTAAAATAACATTTAATCATGTTAATTAAAGAAAACAAGTTTTCAATCTCGGAGCCATCATCTCAAAACTAGTAAAATTGTGCTTTAAATTTATATTTCAAAACTAGGGGCATAACTGTAAATCTATTTACCTTGAATATGAAGAGCAAATAATTCTGATATAAGGTCCTAGAGTCGTGATGGCCAAATAATTAAGAATCTAAAATTTATATCAAATAATAATAAGCAAAAATCTAGAATTACTTAATCCCAATTTAGTTTAATTAATACTTAATTTTACAATATCTATATTTAATTCCACACATAGGTGTCAACACCTATTTAGTGACTAGAATTAAGGGGGTTGACATGACTCTGATACCATATGATATTAAAGCCACTCCGCTTGACCTCTTGAATGGTGATAAGGCAAATTTCAATGAGAATACTAAGTCCTGAAAAGGGGGTGTATGTGACATTTTTAGACAAATCTCGTATCAATAAAGCATGAAAAAGATATCA